CTTGATTGTCCTGACATGTGTATTAGATCCATCCTTAAACCACTCCTTGTGATCAGTGGGTTGGGTACTCTAATTGCTCACGACCATATTTGCTCTGGCTGGAGCAAAGATCAGCCGTGCCCAGACACCACGCACTGGTTTCCCTGTGAGAGGGAGTGGTCTAGTTCTAGGAGAACGGGGATCGAGCACTGGGTCGTTTGTTTGTTTCTAAACCATTGAAGCAAATAAAATGGAACGCCATATGAAATGGCCAGTGTGCTGGTAGATGTGTTTCTCTTTGTTGCTGTCACCAGGAGGTAAAAAGGGACCATTTCTGGCTAAAGAACATAGCCTAGCCTGGTGTTTCCCTCTATTGGGGCTATCACCAGCTGGTAGCTCAGGATTCTCAGCTCTCCATTCTTTGTGGATGGGTTGGAGTGTAACCGAGCAGGACCCTGAGGGCCTTCCAGGGTCAGACCCCTCCCCTATATTCTCTGCCGTAGCTCCTCTCTGAAGTACCCAGATAACAGTATGCCATGTGTATTTCCTGAGTTTCTCAAATGCTAAAAACCACCAAAGAAAAGAAATGAACTACTTGATGATGGAGAGCATGCGGTCCCAGACCTTCTGGAGCCTAGGGGTTGATGGTGTTGACCGCCCTGTTACCTAAACATCAACCAATCAGAGAATTGTGCCTGAGCTGCTCACATACCCACAACCCCTCCTCCCTTACCTGGCCTTTAAACATGCTTTGCCGAAACCCTTCGGGGAATCTGGGGTTCTTTTGGGCATGAGCCACCCAGTCCTTCTTGCTCAGCCCTGCGATAAACCTTTCTCTGCTCCAAACTCCGATGTTTCAGTTTTTTTGGCTTCATGGTGCAGTGGGCACAAGAACTTGCCTTCGGTACCAGGAGCATACGGATATTTCCGGACCTGATAAAGATATCCTGGTTAGATCTGAAGCGGTTTCAGATCTCCCAGCAGCCAAGCTCAGCTCCCGAGCGAAGCACTCCAGAAGTCCCTCCCAAGCTTCTTCTTGTGACCTTTCTGCTCTGACCAAAAGAAACGGCCTCGAGGGCTCATGCCTTGCCTTGTTCCAGTCCACATCTCCTCTTCTCACCCCATGATTTCATCCCTAATAAAATAAGATCTTTAGATTCCCCGAGTGAATTTTGTGTGTCCAGTAATACATCATGAGCTCTTCTTTTCATGATTTGTGAACCAGAGGCTCTGAATGCTGCGTGTTTAGCTACCTGGATCCCCTCTATTAGCAAACCAGGAAACTAGCAGATTCTCTCATCTTAAAATCACCTCTCACTTATAACTTACAACCCTCTGCCCACCCAGGTTAGCGGTACATTTCCTCTTTCTCCCATTCGGAGACATCTTCTCTCTGTTACTGTATTCAGGAATTCACAAAGTTCTTTATAATTTAAAAATATGCTCACAGACTTCTGCTTTATTCTTGCTTTCATATATAGGGAATTCTATATTCACATGTTAACGCGGGACCAATGTGGGAAATCACCGCTACATTTCACGGTCCTCTTCCTAGATGAAATTTGTATTTCCACAGTCATTTTCACAACCAGGGAACCAGGCTGCCTGTGGTTGTGCTGCCTCCTGTACCTAGAGCATTATTTCTGTATCTGCCCTGTTATACCTTCAAAGGTTTACACTTGAGAGTCTACTTACAGAACACTATTTAAAGAAAAAAAAATGCACCAAAGACTTAATACCAAAGTATTAAGGTAATCGCACTGTCTCCTAGCAACAACAAAAACAAACAAAAGCAAAAAAAAAAAAAAAAAACCAAAAAACCCCAAAACAAAAAAGGAAGTTACCTACTTGTCTAATAATAAGGAATTTGTTTAAAATTATAGCATAGACAAGTATCTTTCATATAGACATGAATATTATCGACAAAGGTTTAAGAAATATGAGTACGTGTGACATTTTTTAAAAAGATAAATGGATGTAAATAATTCAGATAACTCTCAGCTATGTAAAAACTATGCATAAAAAGGAAAAAACCTGAATAAACTCTTAATGCAGTTGTATTTTGCTAGGTTAGAGAGGACTGGTTTTGATATTTGTCAAAGAACCTGCATAACTTTTAGGATAAGAAAAATAAGCTATCGAGAGTATTAAAAATACATACCACCTGATCATAAAGATTCAGCTTAAATATCATTTATTCAGTGAAACTTTCACGGACCTTTCTCCTTTTCTGTCTTTGTATTCACAGATTACTTGGCTTACAATGATCCCTTTTTAACTTGCATTGTGATGATTTATGTTTTTGTCAGTCTCATGATCCAGATCGTCATTCATTTAATTGTAGGAGCCGTGCCTCGTTCGACTCTGGTTTCCACAGCCCTGAGGACAGGGTCTTCTAAAAACTTGGTACTCGTTTGCAATATGTTGTGTTAAGTTGGAAGCATAAGAATTGTAGTTCTGATTTTAGTCACTGCAGTACAGCTTCCACCATCTATTAATTTTCCGTATTAATGAGCTTCTGAGGACACAGCAAGGGGCTTAAAAAAATTAAATCAGCATCTGATCCACAAACAGGAGACATCAGATGCCAGCTACCTGAGTACAAGACCAGTCTCCGGGTGAAAATCTCTGTTGTTCTCAAAAAAGAGTGAAAATAAAAGGGACAACAGACCAGAACTGAAATTATAGCCCAATGACAAAGCCCAAACTTAAAACTCCAGAGCATATTATCTGTGATCTCTGTCCAAGACAAAAATACCACTTTTTACTTGACGCGTCTGCCTCCGCTCAGTCACCATCAAGGCTTGGTTCTGATTCCCAATCGTAGCCATGATGGTGGAGCCAAAACCACCAGCTTAAAAATGTCTGGTTAGTAAAGCCAGGCATTTGTTTCCATGGGACCCAAAATAAACCAGTTGTTAAGATTTTTTTTTTAAATCTGAGGTTAGTAAATGGATCTTGTCTTGCCGAAAATTTGACCTTAATTGTGAACTCTGAGTTGCTGAATACAGATCCAACCAACCCACGTTGCAGTGTTGCACTGACCTGGGTCAGCATTGGGAAATACGCAGTTGAAGTCTCCTTCCCTTCCCCTCTTCATGTCCCCTCTTCCTCTGCGTCTCTTTCTTTTCCTTTGTCTCTCTCTCACAATATCTGCTTTTTCTTGACCCTAGCTTTTCACAACTTGCTGTATAGCAAATAAATATGTTTTTAACTAAAACCTAATTTCAGAATAATAACATCTTAATTACATTTCTTAGCATCTTGAAGTGAATACATAATCCACAATAGGATTTAAAATCCTTTCTTCTCTTTACTCCAAATAGCTTCCCCATTCTTTCTCCTCCCGTCCGTTTCTCCAGATTCTGCATTATAAAAGCTCAAAGGACAAACCTAAAAGTGACAGGCTTTTCTCTTGGTGGGCAATAAAGAGGAAAAAAACTGATAGAGAAAAACTTTGGTGAGGATGAAGATGGGAGACACTGGGAAACTATTTGTATTTTTAATTTACTCACCATGTCTGCTTCTTATAAATGTCTTTGGGTCTTCACGTGGGAAAGAAAAACTTTCACTTATTATTATCATTCGAAATTATTCTCCCTTCTCATTTGCTTCTTACCAGCCGTTTGGAAAGCTGAAGACAAAACAAAATAGTAGTATTAAATATTGAATGCATCCTGTGTGCTAGACATTGTGATAAATGTATTTCATGCATAATTCAATCCTCAGATCAAACCTAGAAGTCAGATCTTTCCACCATTTAACAGGTGAGGACATGAAGGTTTATATAAGTGGAACTTTCTCAAGGCTATTCAGCTAGTAAGTAATAGCAGACCAAGGGTTAAACCCTGATATTTTTGACCATGAAATCCAAATTCTGAAGTACTGTTTTATATTATGTGACTCTGGCAGATCAAAGTATAACATGTATTGTTTATCTCTTATTTCTCATGCGCTGAACAGGACTGGCCGCTTCATGCCTATTGGAGAAGAGAAACATAGCAAGAAAAATACTCATGTGTACTCTCCAATTGCATCATTAGTTCATTTTAGGACTAGCTCAATAAATTGTGGCTTCCAGGCGTTTTAGAATATGGCATTAATCTCAGTATCAAGTTTCATATCTAATATATAAGAACCATGTCCAAGTTCCAAAAAAAAAAGTGTTTTTGGTGTGGGGAACATTTGGAAATGGGGCATTTTAATGTATTAAAAGATGTGGTGGCGATTGAGGTACACTTCCAAAGTAATAACAGGAATCGAACTTGGAAGATAAGAGGGTGCTATCACTAAGGCTCCCAAGTAGAAAGGAATAATGTGCCAGAAGTCAGGTGAAGCGGGGGGAGGTAAGAATTTTACCAAAATGTAAGGCAAATTGATAGGATTTTTGTTTATGGTTTTCATAATCAGTCTTTGCTTCCCATATGGCTATAAAATAAAGATAAGAAGTCTTATTCATTATAGCATTGTTACTCTCCAATAAGAAGTTGTGTATTAAATTTTCACAAACTTCTCAAGGTGAGGGCAGTGACAGTAGTATGTCCACTTTACCGGTAAAGAATTGGCTGAGAAAATTGTGTCCAAGGATACTGGGGTAGGCAGAATAACAGCTCTCGTTATTGTGAACCAGTGAATATGGCACCTACTTGGCATGAGGACTTGGTAGGTGGGATTAAGTAGAGGAACTTGAGATGGGGAAACTATCCTCAATTATCCAGGTAGGTCCAATCTAATCACGTGGGTCTTTAAAAGCAGAGAATCTTCCTTGGCTAGAGTCAGAGAAAGAGATGTGACAATGACAGAAGCAGGGTCAGAGAGATGACAGCTCATCCCACTATTGTTGGCTTTGAGGCTGGAGGAAGGGACCCATGAGCCAAGAAATTCAGGCAACCCCTAGAAGCTGCAAAGGACAAGGAAATGTTCTCTCCTCTACAAGTTAATAACTAAAAGAATGTTGCCTATAGCCTAAAACATACAGGATAGCCCATTCTCAAGGTTCTGACCTTTAAAGATATGACACTTTTCCACTGATATTAAAAAAGCTGCAAAACAGAGAATAACGTTTGTCTTGCTGGAGGTTTATAGGAACATTGTGACCAGACCTACGTGGACGGCTGCAATAACAAAAGATTCACGCACCAAGAAGTTTGAAATAGCCAAACACACCCGCTCCCCTTTTAGTATAAAAGTGGTATGAACGTTTGACAATTGCCATAATCTCATTATTCTGATATTCCTCCTGGGGAAAAAAAAACTGTTATTTCTGGTATTTTTATTCATTTTGTTTACAGAGCTCTTACCATGTGTTGCGTTGGTCGCCGTGCTGTACATGGTACAAGGATAAGTGAGACAGATTTTTGCCCACAGAGTTGAGAGTCAAGAAAGACAAGAAAAGACAAACTATAACATTTTATTGATATTGATGGAATGCTGTGCTCTGGGAGAGGTAATTAGAGACAGAAAACCTGATCCAGCAGAATGGGTGTGAGAGAACCCAGACCTCTTGGGCTGAGAATAAACACTGGGACTACATCCTGAAGGCTGAGCAAGGGCCAGCTCAGTGTGAGTGTCCAGCAGGTGAAAAGAAGGCGACTGTTTGAAGAAGGATCATGTAAAGAACATGCAGAGTGAGAATGGCAGGCCATCCATCATACTGTGTGGCTTGGGAACAAAAAGTAGGTGCTTACAGGCAAAGCTGGCTTGGCATAGAATTTTGCCCCTGTTAAATTTAAATATTCATGAAATGATACAGATCTATATGTCTATACTGGCTAACAAAACCATAGTCTAGTATAATAGAACCGTAACACAAATACCTTTAAAATGAATAAAATTTTCAGGCGCTCTGAAATTTTTCTCCAACCTACCTTCTTTTAAAAACCTGTGATAGAAATTTGTCTTCAATCATGCTAAATAATTCTTTCATCTGATTATACACTGTAACTGCCTTCTTCATAAAGAGGGCTGCAAGGGTCTCACTCAAGATAGTAAATTGCGATACAAATGTTGAAGATTGTCAGTCACGGAAGGAGGAAGTTAACGCTGTAATTCCCCTGCAGCCCTTAGGATC